CGGGGCGCCCGGGGCCCGCGGTGAGCTGCGCGGCGGGGACGGGGACGGGGACGGGGACTGGGACTGGGACTGGGACTGGGACGGGGACGGGGGCGGCCGCGAGGACATCTTCGCAGACGGCGTGTGCGCTTGGGAGCATCAGAGCCTGGTCGTGGATGGCTTTAATTTAATTACGAACGGTGCGGTCTGGCGGGATGACCGGCCTGCTTCAGTGCTGTATTATTCAGCCGCTCTTGTAGATGCCCCGAGGATGGATGATAAAGCCATGTAGAAAAGGAGAGTGATAAGGCTCCTGCTGAGTGCTCGTCGGTGCTAAGGGAGCATGGTGTTCTTCCCTCAGATACCTTCTTAGCGAAAGGCTCTGCTAATCTGGACAAGTTAAAGGACCTCTGCAAGGAAGGGAAAGAACATCCTTCCACGCTTTTTCAGCTCTATACCCAGGTACTTTGTTATGGACATCAAACTGCCTTTCAAGAAAACGTGTGTAGGGTGTGGGAGACGGTTTGGTGTGAAAAAGGAGGGTGGGGGAGAAAGGCGGCTCCATTACTTGGGGGTGTGTGGTGAGCGTCTGTGAAGCACAGAACTGCTTTTGACTTGGATAACTTGGGAATCGTTCGTGCTGTTACTTTAGGACCAGAAAGGGGTTTGGTTGACATTCACAATCACCAATCCTTCAATAATTCTAACTTGCACCTTTTGTAAACTAAATGTTAAAAAATACCTTCAAATTGTAATGTTTTATAAACGAATGAGTTTTCTCTGTTAAAACACACCGCCATTTGATTATTTTGACGGTAGCATTTCTACTTTGTATATGTTCTTGTTTTCATAGGCTGTCCTAGACATTACATATTTTGAGGAAAACCAGCTTGTGGATGAAGATTTTCCAGAAGAATCTGCCTTGCAAAAACTTAAAGAACTTATTTCTGTTCTTTCAGAACCAGAAGACCTAGTGAGGGAATGCGGCATAAAAGAAGTGAGTAGCCAGAGGGCAAATTATTTCATTATTTAAAAACAAACAGTCTGAAATGGGACATAGTATTTGTATTTTTGATGAATATTTAAAGTATTTTGAAACATTTTCATGTCTTTTTGGTGTTTAAATAGGGATTCCTGAAAATATTGTTTCAAATGCCTTGTTGTGTGCTCACAATTTCTCTTGCTAGCGTTTCATGATTCCACAGGCAGTTAACATTTCTATTTGACCTACAGTGTTAGGTTAGGCTAGGCTTGTCTCTCTGAGTGTTGTTGTCAAGCACAGCCCCTGAAGTAAGAGATTTACACAGTGTTTGCATGTGTGACAGTGCATATGAGTATTTCAGGTGGTTTATTTTTGTGTTAGACCAGTTTGTTGGATTTTATTTCAGCCCATCAACATCCTTGGAGCAGAGTTGTTAGAATGTCTTTACTGGAGGAAAGGAGCCCTGCTTTACATGTATTGCCACACAGCAAAAGAAAGGAGTGAATGGCTACAAGAAAACATTGCCACATTTAAAAAGGTAAAGGAGATTAAAATGTTCTATGAGCTTGTGAATACAGCTTTAAAGTTTGACTGTTCACTTTTAATATATGGCTGGGTTTTTGTTCTGGTTGTTTTGGTTTGGTTTTTTTTTTTCCCCTTCAATTGGGATTTTGGGGCTTCATAGGAAGAAGTATTTCTGCGTATGATTAATTTAATGAGAACTTATTTTTTCCTCATTTTTAACTGTATTCAGTGTCTTAATGATGGAGTTCAGTACTTGATGAAGATGCTTAGCTTTAGATGCCCTCTTCAGCTAGATGAAGATATCTCACTTCAAGATAAAGACACAGCTAGATTACTCAGTGAAGGTAAAAAAAACCCCAAAAATAACTCAAAAAAAACTTTTAACCCACTCCTCTTAATAACTACTTCACTTTCTGAAATGTTTTTTTGTGTGTTTTTATTGTTTGACCTAATTTGTGTTCAAGACTTGACACTTTTTAGAACCAGAAGATAACAGATGAGGCAAATAAGCAAGCAAGAGTGCACCTCCCCCTTTATTTTTTGACTTGTGAATTTTAGGAGGTGCCAGTGCTCATTTTCCTGGTGATTTATGAGTGCACTGGAGGGAGGTGAACTGAGGCTATGAGTGTTTGATGCACAGTAGTGTTTTACGCTGGCAGTGTTTATACACAGTGTTCTGTTGTGAAGCATCCCGTTCTCAACTGATAGCTGTTTAAGGCACAAATATGACTGCAGAGGGTGCCAGAGGTTCACATACTGATCTTCCCTTTTAGCTCTAGGACAGCACAGGTACAAACACAATTACAGACTTCATGCAGGTAAAAACTATATGCAGATCTGGTTAGATTTGGCAAATGTTCTCTGTCACCACTTTATGTAGCTTTATGTAAGTTTCATTCCTACTGAGCGTTTCTAGGAGGATCTTAGGCTGCATCAGTGTGGTGCAGGTAGGTGACACAGCCGGAGGGGATTTGTGAGGTAAACCAGCTGGTGCTGAGGTTATGATGTCCACGTTGAGCACACTCAAAAACAGCTCTACTCTGACTGTAGCAGGATATCCAGCACCTTCTTGTTTGATTTCATCTGAAAGTGGCATTGCTGCTATATAGCTCCATAATGTAAAGTCAAGCTGTGGATTTATTTAGCAGGATTCTTTTTTTTTTTTGTGAAAGACACACATGCGCCTTTGAATTCAAATACCAATAAAGCTGCTGCTGGTTAACCTGAGTTCAGATGACCTCAGACAGTATCTTTTAGGCTTAAACCGTGGGAGACACAGAAATACTCCAAAGTTAATATGTACAGTCATGCCTGTGCTAAAGAGGCTGTAGAGAAATACTGAAATTCTATGAGATAACTAGGCAAACAAAATTATAGAAATAATATTTATATGACAGTCTTTATTATGGAAGGCCAAACTGGACAGAGAAATGAGCATGGTTTTGATCCAGATTTTCTTCTGGGCATTACATATTTATAAAATCATATAGTTATATTGTCTTTTGGAATTTTCTTCCCCATTGTTACTGAAAAAAATGAACAAGCTGTGTACTTGCTTACAGCAGAACAATAAAATACTTGATCTAAATTATTTTTGCAGGTATATTTAGTGACACTCACTTGCTGGCAATGATGTACAGTGGAGAAATGTGCTACTGGGGACTGAAACACTGTGGAGAAGGGAAAGAAAGCCTTGAGTCAATAGATCCTGTGTCTAACAGTGACCTGGGCAGCAGATCACAGAGCATATCACTGGATTTCCAAGAAACAGGGAGACTCATGTTAACAAAGTATGTGGCCGTATGTGAGGGACCCTTAAAAGGTCAAGGGTGGAACACAACAACTGCAAAACAAATGCTGCATTACTTCCTGAAATCCCACGACTAAGATCCACTGCATTGTCTTTGCCAGAAGCAAACTTGTGGCACAGGAGCGCACTCTTCGTCACTGACTTCCTTTCTTTTTCTTTTTCCCAACCGAAATGTACACTTCTGTTGCATTAAAAGCACGCAGTCAAGGACTCCCGGACTGCGGTCCCAAGTGCAGCGCGGTCCCGGGCGGAGCGTGCGCGCGCGGCGCCATGGCGGCGGGAGCGGGGCCGCGCGGCGCGGGGCGCACCGCGCCCGCCCCGCCGCCGGCGGCCCCGGACGGCGCCCAGGGAGTGAGCGCCCTGCAGACGCTGCCGGTGAGCGGGGCCCGGTGGCACAGGGCGGGGCGGGGGGCAAAGCGCTGCATCCCCGCCCGGCCTTCTTCGCTGCTGAATTCGGGAGTCGTTAAACCGCTGCTCTCAATGGTTTTCAGATCGACGTGCAGCTGAACATCATGTCCTTCCTCTCGCCCCAAGATTTGTGCCGCCTAGGAAGCACGAGTTGCTACTGGAGGGCAGCTGTGCAAGACCCGTTGTTATGGAGGTATTTTCTCCTGCGGGATCTCCCCTCTTGGACATCTATTGATTGGAAATCACTTCCAGATGAAGAGATTTTTAATAAAGCCTTTTCAGAGGTCAGCGACAATGCACTGTATGATTACATGGCAGTGTAAGTATATCTCTATTCTGTTACATGAGTTCAAGTATGCCTACAGCAGTAATACTCAGCCCACAGGCATGTTTCATATTTACAGAAATAAACCTGCTGTAAGCTGCTGTTTAAATTTTGATGTGTCTCACATCTAGTGTTTATTTTGGAAATACAATTTCCTGTTGCTCCATGGTCTGGTCAGCTCTTTCTGTCTGGAACTCAGCAAGAATGTAAAACATTGTAAAAAAAGACAACACTAATGCTATAAAAAAATTACAGCTTTTTGTAAACTGTCTGTCTACTGTGGCACAGAAATACTGCATATTGTTGATCTTGATAAAGAAGTGTTCTTTGCTCTCAGTGCCACGGCAGTTATTGTCATAAAAGTATCAAGAAGTCTTCAAACTACAGCAAGTGAAATGAATCTTCATTGTTTTTCATCTTATTTGGACGACCTAATAATAAAAAAGTGCACAGAATGTGCACAGAATAACAAATTGTATTGTTTTAGGTCTGATTGTCAAAGACTGTAAGACAAAGACTGGTTTCAGCTAGTACAGTTGAAAAGCATAGCAACACAATAAATATGTTTGGATGACTGAGAAGAACTCTTGGAACAAGTTAGTTTGTGGTGATTTCTTTTCTAAACTTTATTCAGTTCCCTTGATTTGCAGTAGTGGTCTGTAGATTTGTTTGGGATTTTTTATTTATTTGCAGTTACATTTTCCAAAGGTGGTCCTTAACACGTTGCTTTGTGGTAAGTGCACTGACTTCTGCAATCTCCGTGCCCTTCATCCCCTTTTAACAGGTGGGAACAGTACGCCCAGTATTTGACGTGCAAAATATGGACTGATTTTGAAATTGGATTTAAATCTGTTTAGGTCTGAATCACTACTTTGAAACCATCTGTCACTGATTCCATTGTGTCTGCATGCACTTAGCTGTTTTGCTGATCTCGACTGAAACATTTCAGCGTGGGTATAAAGGAGCCCATTTGATGCTTATTTGAAGAGGTTTGTTCAGCAGCAGCCTACCATGACTCCAGAAGCAAACTGAAGCTGCTGCTCTAGGATGTCTGACTGTTTTATTTCCTCTCAATTACCTGTCTTTCCCTGCCTTCTAGCATCCACACCAAATGAGCATATGAGTTTGCAGACTTGTCCTCTTCCACAGCTTGCATGCTCTCTACCTACAGGGAAAATGTTTCTTTTTCAGGGGGTTACTTGTTATAAATACAAGAGTTTAATTAAAGTTTAAAATGCACTCACAAAGCTAATTTTTAAAATTATATTTTTAATGTGACTCTTCTGCTTTGATGCTATTTTTACCTATATTGTGTATTCAGTGAGGATGGGGAATTCATGATTTTTATTTTATTTTTAAATAAACTGAAAGATCTGTAGATAGAAGTGTACTGAGGTCCAAAAACTCAGTATTTGGACTTCAAAAGGACTGATGCTTTTGCCTACTTTGTAGTGGTGCTTGAAACTTCATAATTTTTGACCTATGCTTTGAGTTGTACCAGTAGCAAAGCATAAGAAATGTGGGACCTAAATGAATTTGTTTGATTAATACCTCTTTTGTATTTTGTGTTTAATTTCTAGTTGCATCTATTTTAAACAGATATAAAAGGAGCTGTCCTCAGGGTAGAAGAAGTTTGAAATCCAGCCGTCCCCAGTATGGGACTGTGACTTCCTTTTTGCAAGCACTGGTCACTCAGGCAGAACCTCGCTTTGCTATGTTTGGGCCAGGTTTGGAACAGCTGGACAACTCTTTAGTACAAAAGATGATGACATGCCCAGAAATTCTGCTGGTAGCTGGCCTACCTCATAGACAAATTCATGGTAATGATGCTTTGGCTTTTGGCCTCCTTATTTTGTAAAAAAATATAACACAAAAAACTTTGAGGAAGAAATTTTAAAAAGGAATTATTTTTTTGTATCCTTAAAATTCAGTAAAATAATGGTAAAAAAATATTTCTGGTTTGTTCAGAAGGATAAATGCAGCGAACATTTGGGACAAACTAATAGCTTCAGTGAGTTTGTGATTAAATTTGGACATTGTCAGAAGAATCACTTTGCTCCTTGTACTTCTATTTTTATCAAAATTCCATGTTACTGCTGCTGTTGTGATCAGTAAATGCAGGCAGGCCTTTCTTTCTTTCTTTTAGCCACTTACTGCTTGCAGTAAGTGGCTAAAAACCACATTTGTGATTTTACATAGGAACTCAAGGCTGATCCTTATATGATTCAGTATTCTGGTATCAAATTATGTAAATTTTACTTAGAAGAGTTAAAGGAGCAGGTGTGGGATTTTTTTTTATGTTTTAAAGAGTAGCTTTGAAAGTCTAATTTTACTTCAGTCCAAACCAGAGACAAAAATGTGTTACTTTATAACTAACAGTTATTTCATCACAGCTGAACTCGAATAATTAAATTGTATTTATAGGAAGCATGACAATTATTTTTAGTGAGTTTTTTATTTCTGTCATATGTCCTTTTCAATGCAGCTTGTCATAAGCAGACTGGAGCCTTTTCTGTGCCAGTTTCAGCTAATAAATACACGTCTGTCTCTTTTCTGATTTAAATTTCTAGGTTCAAATCTAATAATCAGAAATACAGAAATAGTTTTAATACCATTGACTAGATTTTCATTAAATTAAAAGTCTGATCAATTGGAGCATGTATATTTAATTGTAAAATAGTAAATCTGCTACCCCTAACAGCAATATCTAGGTTTGAATACATTCATTTTATGGCACCACTGGAATTTTGGAACTACCACTTAATTGTATTCAGTAGCCAAATAGCTGTAATCTCACAGATTCATTTTTTCCCCTGTAGGAATTGGATCAGGAGTCAGTTTTCAGTTTAACAACAATCAAAAATTCAATATTGTGACATTGTATTCCACCACAAGGTAAGATAAGATCTGTTCTCCATCAAATGAAAAGTACAGTTTCTAATTTATTTCAGACTTTTCTTCATATTTTTGTCATGTGACTTTCCTGTGCACTTCCTCATGCATGGATATCCCTTATAAATTCAAGTTTCAATGCATGCCTTTGCTTTTCCTTTTTTTTTCAACCACTAAGTTTTCACATGGATGTAATAAAGCTTTTCCAAACAGTATATGTACCAAAGGTGTACAACAGGTACATTACAGGTGCTTCTGTCCCTCTTAATATCTTGCTTGAGTCCCTTTTGAAACACTTTATGAACTCATCCTGGAGTGTATTTTCATAAGCATCTTGCAGTTTGCCAACCATCTCTGTGCATTCAGAAAGAAAGGGCAGGAGGGGACAGGGAGAAATGAAACCATTTTTCTGGCTCAGCCCATTTTCCTGTTCCTTTCCTGAGCCACCTAGACTTTCAAGATTCTGTTTTGGCATTCTCAGTTAACCTGACTACTGAAATATCTTTCAGTGTGGAAAGGAGGAGAGCAAGGGAGGAGCAAGCTGTTGCTGTGAATAAGATGTTTTACCAAGAGAATAGCACAGAAGGGAACCAGCAAGCCATGCACTACAGTGTCATAGCTCAAGTGAGGAAGGTGTGCGAAGTAGTTGATGGATTCATTTATGTTGCTAATGCAGAAGCTCACAGAGGTACGGGGTTTCTCTTTATTTATATTTTGTAACTAACTGGTGTGTTAGATTACAAAGAACATGCAACACATCGAAATCCATGTTGATCCTTTCAAAATCTGCTATTTCTTCATGTCTTACCCTGTTGAAGAGGTCTCCTATTTTAGACACTCATCAACATGTTAGGGATTGTGGCCCCTTGTTTTGTTTATGGCACATACTGATATGGTTGCTATCTAAATTATGTGTGGGAAATTACATGGATTAAAAAACAACAAAAATAACCCCCACGGGTGTGTATAGAAGAAATTTGAAAATACATTGTTTGTGCTGTAATAGCCTGGAAACAACCTTCACCAGGAAAACAGTAAAAAATGCAATTAGTCTAAATCCGTTTAGTCCTATAAGATGATAATGCAAATAACAATTGCAGTAATTGTCTTTACATTCATCAGCTTTGAATGGAGGAAAAGGGCTATCTCAGAAAAGAGACAGGTAGAAAACTTCAAAGGGATACACTAAGAGAAAAGTGCATTCAGTAGGGAAGGGCTGCTGATTTTGCAGTGTATAAGTATTTCTGAATGGCTTGTTGTAATTTTGATCTCTGTGAGGTACTCAGAAAACATTCTGATGTAAGGATTGAAATAGGCTGCCTGTAGAATCTGCGGAGATCTTTAACATCTAAATGGCACCAATATCTGTGTAACATAAGTGCAGATGAGTAAGTCTTGTGATAAGCAGAACAAGATCATTTGGCCCTTCCAGCCCTCTGTCTAATTTGCTCTGAAATAAAAAAAAAAACAAAAATGAAGATACCTTGTTTTTGCATTTACTTAAGACTCACATGTTAAAAATTGTTTCTTAGAACATGATCGTCAGGAGGAGCTGGCTCGTATTTTGGCAATGGTTGATCCAGCCCTCGGGCCTCCAAACAGACCTCTGCTGGTTTTGTCCTGTGTGTCTCACACTGGTGTGAAAAGAATTCCATGTGTTTACGTGGCACATCAGTTGCAACTAAATCTGCTACATCAGCCCTGGATGGTACTTGCTCTTAAACCTTTATTTTTTGTTTCTGCTTGGTTTAAATTTAATTTAGAATCTCAGGTTTCTTAACTATACCTACCTAAGCAAGTGTGCAGCTTTCAACACTAGTACATGAGCTTTCCATTTAAGTGAAAGATTTTGTTTCTCTGGTGCTCCAAGATGAATTACTAGCCTGACTGAAAACAAGAAGCTAAGTGACTTGCCCAAAAGCACACAAGTGACTTAAGATGGAGCTAGAATGTAAGAAAGGACAAATGATGGTCTTGAAGGGAGTAAGGAAGCTTCAGTTCATTTAAATCTAAATTTTCTGATGCACAGCCTCGGACACAAGATGATAGGTTTTTGGGACATTTTTGAAAGACTGTTTACTGTCACTCAGTTGATGTGATTTCTTCAGTTTTTGACAGATCAGTTTTCTACCTAGGATATGAGATCCTGAACCTGTTTTTTTTATGTTTGTCAAGCACAGTATCTGTCAGCATGGTTCAGCCACACAGAATTAATTTTTGTTGATGTTGTGTAGCTGAGGAGTAACTTAATCAGAAAAAAATCCTGATTTGAGGTAATTCATTTGTTTTCATAAGGAAAATGTTTATAGGCTTTTCATTAAACATACCATTTATAATAGCCACTGGATGGGATATTACAAAATCTGAATGCTGGTGATATGTATAGAAGTCTAAAGCTCACGGCATTTTTGCTTTAAGAGTAACAAGAAGATTTTTCAAGTGGATTCCATCCGTAAAGTAAATGTAATCTTCCAGAACAGCTGATGAAACAATTGAAAAAAATTCACTCTGATACTAAGAGTGAAAGCTTTCTTAACATGAGGGTTTTTGTTTTTGTTTTGTTTTGTTTATTTTCTTACTCTTACAAAACCTTTTTTGTCTAAGGGACCTTTACAGTAGTGATAAAGATTTAGATTTGATATGAGCATTTCTGACTTTACAGAGAGACACAGAGTGTCTATCTAACAAGTGTTTCTCTTGCTGTTACCTCTAATACAATAACTTTTTCTTTTAATTTTATTTTCACAGATGCAGGACACTGTAGCTGCAACTTTAGATGGATTGCTAAATGGAATTGAGTGGCTCTTGGAAGAAGCAAATTATAAAAGTGCTCAGTAGTTGCACTGTATAAACCTTTTGGTGTTTTCCATTTCAATTGAAGTAAGAATCTTGACCTTCCTGCCAGACTACTGTCAGAAGGGAAAACTGATAAGGCAAACCTGCATATATTTCACTGCACATACTCAAATTCTTAACATTTTTCCAACTATAGTCCTGAATTAGAAGTACAAGTGGGATTGCCTCGATTCTAGCTGCGATAAAGAAGTGATTTGGAGGGACAATCTGAGTGTTTTGTTGGTTTTCTCTCCTTTCAACCAGAGGCCTTTAGAGTACAATCTTTTCCAGTAGATCTGATGGTCTAATATATTCTGTAAATAAATATGTAACTACGTTAGTGTATCAGCACAGCTGTATCACACATTTAGCAAACATATTCAGGGGAGATCTTTACAGTGACACTTCCTGACCAAAGAAAACATACTGTAGGCTGTACAGTAGGAGGCTGACAGAAAGACAGTACAGAAAAGTGAGTTCCCCTGTATTTTTCTAGAAAAAATGCCTAGATAAAAAATAGTGGGGGGAATTTTCAGCCTAGACCAAAATTCTTAGAAGCAAACAAACACTTCTGCATATGAATTGTTGTTTCTTTAGCTTTCTGTTGCACTGAAATCATTAGCTTGAACTGGATATGCCTCTGATTCCATGAAGAAATGTTAAATAGGATCATTCAGGACTTTATTGCACACATAAACTATCAAGTTTCCCAAATAGTTGTGGCCATTTGCAGATGTGAATTATACTTGTCTTGAAATTTTCTACACAGTTGCACATAGTTTTATGAAAAGCAAAGCAACATTTTAAAGCTGGAATTGTGTTCTCCATATTGATGTCTTTCAGGTTGTCTTTTCATGTTTTTATTATTGGGTGAATGTTCAGAAACTTCACTTGGATTTCTTGCTGGAGCATTTATTTGCTTTATTCTGGACTTTTTTTTTCTTTTCTCCTATCATCAGAGAAATTCAGGTATCTCACTACATTTTCTTGGTACCTAGATAAATGATTGCATAGCACACATACAGCTGTAACTGCCCTCCGTGTGGGATACTCGAGTGATGATCAACACAGCCATGTCAGAAACATTCCCTTTGAGAAGATGTTTGGGATTTTTTAATGAACTAGAAAGCATCTCCTTTTTTTTCATCTTCATGCACAGTTAATCCATTTTCCCAGATTTTTTGGTATGTTCTAATCAGGGACACATGGGAGTTTCAAGGGAAAATCCAAAGGAACATTACAACGAAAATTCGGTGGTTTATCCTTTCTTTTTTTCTTTATTTTTTTTTTTTTTTCAATAGTGTATGTTTGCCCTTTAAAACAGAGCAGACACAACCGATTTATGAGTGTTTGGGATAAAATTCCGTGCTTTGTGACTGGGTGTATGTGATTTTCCTCCTAATCACATTAATTTCCTAGTGGTCTATACGCAGGGGATTGAATGCAGCAACCTGATTCTGTGTAAGCTACTACGAATAAGGAGGGGTTATGGAAGATCCTCTTTCTACATTCTTCGTAAGGAATAAATACTTTTCAAAAGAATGATATGAGTCTTTTTATGTGTGTTAAGCCCCTTACATGTGTGTACATGAGTTCACACACTGCAATCACACTGTCATAACAAATTACCATTGTCATCTCTATCTATTAATGAACAACGTTATTAATTAAGATAACTCACTGTCATTTCAAAGGGTTAGGATAATGTAGAGTATAGTTTGAAAGATGTGTTAGATTAACTTAAAGCTAGAATACCTCTCAGAATTGCAGGTTTTAAGGGTGCAGTCTAAGAAACAAACAGTGGGCATGAGAAGTCCCTGCAGTCACAAGCTCCTTGATTAAATGCTGTGCTGGGTCAGCACAGGCAAGGAAGATGAGCATGTGCACTGTCCAAAGGCGCACAGAGGTGCACAGAGGTATGCTGTGGAAGAGGCAACCAGCTTGTTGAGCATACATACAGCAAATAGTTGCAGAGATACACTGCCTTTTACATTTGACAATTCCTACTATTTCAGTTTCTGAGTCTGCTGAATTTAGAAACGTGGAAATAATTTAAGCTTGGCACTGTCATTGTTAGAAATTCAAAAATAGTTTGGTGTGGAATATTAGAATATGACTTAACTGTATCTTAAAACTTTGTAATGTAAAAAGAAAACTACTTTAAAAAATCTAATTAGTTTTGTATTTATCAGAGTAGATGCAACTGTGATAGGTTTGTGAAAAATCAAACCAGGATCTGGATCCCAGGAATGTTGCTTTCTTAGGAATGAAGGATTATAAAAGCATTAGACAAAAATTGCTTTTGTACCCACTGAGGCAGGATGTTTATCTAAACAGTGATCACAAAATAAGAGGTTAGAATGACAATATATGTGATTTATAAGAAAACTCAGTTACTGAGACATCACCTGAGCAGCTTTTGAAAAAAGAAAGTTGTTGTGGTGTGTTGTTTTGTTTCACAGGAGTTGGTTCGTTCCATTACCCCCATTCACAAAAATGGTTTGGTCTTGGGACCCCCCCTTTCCTCCCCAGTTAGCCCCTCTCCATGTATAAGAGCTGTCAGTTTGTTGTCCCCTCCCGTTTCCTTGAATTTCTTCTGTTAACCACTCCCTGAGCTCCTGTCCATCACCCACTGACCCCTCCCCTTTTTCCAGAAAGTTCTCCTCTCTGCAGTGGGAGATTGGACCAGGAACAAGAGTCCCTCCCTACTACTTTCCCTATTAGCTAGCCAGACTGTCTGTCATGATTATGCTCCCTCCTGAGTTCTCCCTCATTGGCTGCTGCATTGTACCCACCCAATTGTTCCACCCCCTTTATATACTGTTGTATTCCCTTGCTCCACGTCTTTTCTTGGCTGGCTCCCCTGAAGACAATAAACCTTCGGACTTTGCCCCGCAAAAGGAGTCCCTCTTTTCTTCATTTGCTTCGCCTTTCTGCTGCTCACCACTGCCTCTTGCTGAGGCGCTCCCTGGACACCCCTGGCACATCTGGGAAGTGCCCCCTGCTGTCAGCTGCTGTGCCTCAGCTCGGCCAGTGCGATCTTCTCCCCTATCCGGGGGAGTAGAGAATTTGGACAGCAGCACGGCAGAAAGTGGCCACAGGGATGCTAATTTTCAAATCTTTGAAACTTTGAATAACAAAAATGCCTGCTGCCAGCTCCAGAGCAGTGCCCGAGGGGCACCTGTCAGGCTCTCAGAACAGAGGACCCTGTCCCTGGTGAGATGTCTTGCAAGTTATGATGATGATGGAGCAGCCCTGGATCTAAGCAGTAGTGTCAGGACCCTTCTAGCTGCAGCTTCAGAAGGAAGCTGTGGTTCTCTGTGTGTCCTGCAGGATGGCACTGCTGATCTGCATCAGCACGGATTCTGTCCAGGTAGCATCCCTACACCCTTTGCCAAAATTGCTCCAAGTAATCAATTGCACTCCCTGCTCAGAGATGCAGGAAGCAGGTGCAGTTATAGAAAGACCTGTGCGAAAATCGAAATGCTTTTCAAAGACTCATAGATGGGGAACATGCTGCCTCTTAATGTGGTGGGTATTGTCAATATCACTTTGTATGGTAGCATGAATATCGCAGCTGAAAAGAATAGATGGAGTTACTGTCAGAAGACATATGGAAATAATCATTGGCATTATTGCAAAGTGATTGATGTCTGTGATTTATTGTTTCCCATGCCACTCTAGCACTAGTGGTTCTGGATAAATTACTTTCCTCAAATACACGAGTAGAGAAATAACATTTTTTGTTCAGTTACAGAAGGTGATATAGCTGGACCCTGTACTTAAATGTCAAAAATCTCTGAAAAAAGGCTGCCCTCAGTTGTCTTAGGAGGATGAAACTGCAATCAAGAATGTAGGTAGTAGGCATAGAGCAGAGACCTAGCAAAGAACAAAACACGATGGGTCTGGATAAGGGGAATAATTAAGAACCAGTGAGATTAGATATCTCCTGCTCCAGCATTATCACGTCTGTGCTGAGCAGCTGTTTGCAGGTACCAGTCTGGGCATTACTGGCCAAGGTTTCTGAGCAGCCAGTCTCTTAGGGTTCCTTCCTCCAGCCTCTTAAATGTCTTAGTGACCCTTTGCTGGAATCTCTCTGGTTTGTATCTCACATAGTGCAGGCTTAAAACTGGACACCCTGCTACACATTCACAGCTACAGATCCTGGGCAGAAGGGAATTGAGCACTTGTCCTCAATGTAGCCTCCATCACTGTGTGGACACTACTGAATCCAGGTTCCCTGGTCTACCAGGACCTCGGAGCTGCTCCCAAACCAGTTGTCACCTGTCCTCTGCATGTGCAGAGTGCTCTCTACTGGAGGCAGGACTTTGCATCCTGAAGTTTCTGAATCACGTCTTAGCCCCCTGAATGGGCTAGCAGTATTCTCACTTGCAGTATTTCTGGCTGTCCTTGCACAAGGAGCCTACTGTCTCTGGGAACACCAGCCTGCATGTGACAGCACACAGAATCAGTCACCTAATGGGAGAAAAAAGGCATTCAGTCTTTTTCTGAAGTCTGAAATCAATCAAGCCATTTGCTCCATCAAAAGAAAGTTGAACGATACTAGTCTTAGAAATTAAATCTCAAAATTAATTCCTCTATAGTATGCAAACTACTGGTGGACAAGTGCTGTAAGTACATGAAACTCTGATATAGATCCAGAAACAGATTTCAACACTCTGTGAAGTGTTTCACTGTGAAGTAATCCTAATGACTGTCGGGGTCCGCTGTTATGTGTCTCTGCCCCGACACGGGGAAAGGTGGTTCTGGGCGGCCGCGATTGCGAAGGATGAGCCTGGACTCTTAGATTTTCGGTCTTCAGTTCTGTTTATTATCTCTTATCTACAAAGTTTTCTCTTTGCCCAGCCGAGGTCCGCTCAGCAGGACAGTCGAGTGCACTCTCCTCCCCCCACAGGGCGGTTGTGTCTTTTATAGTAAAAATTACGTGTGACATATTTACCTTTATTTCCCAATACTATTCATCCTTATAGACAAGTGCACTTTCACTATGAACCAATCTCCAAGTGCCAACATCACCACACAAAATGGAAGACATGAAGAAGGAAGAAGAACACAGGACCACGCCCTGAATCCTCCATCTTGCCTTCATGACCCCCCTGTACCTATTTTTCTAAAATTTATATTTCCCTCCATAAAGGTATCGTTCACACCCAAGAAGTTCTCATTTCCTCCGTCACAGGTTCTTCTCCCTTTGATGGATCGAAATCCAACCACCAAACCCTTTTGGCATCATTCCAGGGTTTCCGAGCCCCCCAGGGGCTCCCCTGGTGTCTCTGCACATCCACAGTGATGTGCTGAGATCCCACAAATGACAACCCAGAAAGACGTACTGTATTCATTAAATTATTTAAAACTACTCTTTACAAAGTGATAAAAAAAATCACAGTTTTCTCACATAATAAAGGAAATGCTGTCATTACACGGTAACTGAGGACCAAGGACTGTATTTTCTGAAACCATACTGCTTTGTTGATAAAGGAATATAATTTTGGTGTGGCATCTCTCATGTCTTCCCCACAGACTTAAACTACAAACACCATTCATGCCTGATTCCATGCGAGTCACATTCCATGAATGTGAACATAAAAGGGCGACTCAGCAAGAACAAAACCAAGCCGCCTTCTCTATTTGAATCACATAATCTTGTGTAGAAGGTTTTTACACAACTTTCCTAAATGTAACTAGAAACACCAGTTGCTTAGAACTTTCTCTCATAACACTCATGGTGTTAACAGCCAATTCCCTTAGAAATTCAACTGGCTTCATTTTAAATTCTGTGAAGATTTAAAACAGTGTCCATACCTTTAGTTCATATGAAAGAAATAGGCAAAATTTGATCTGCATATGTGCTGTACATTAAATTCGGTGAGATGAATTAAATTTTTTCTTGAATCTGAATAATGAGGATTTAAGTACACGAGTTACCTGAGAATCTTCTTTTATGACTATAAACATTCACATATCACACATCCAGACCCTGGGCAATATAGCATAAGGATACACTGACACAGCTACACATTAAGCTTCTTTGAAAAACCACAAGCTATTTGCAAGAAATAAATGCAAATTACTCATTTAACTAACAAACGATATTAAAGGAATCTTATGGGTTTTACTTTTGAAATTAGAGACTCAACATTTAAAAATATATATATTATTGAAAGGAAAGAACCCAGTTACCTGATTACTGCTAAATTTCTCTAAAACAAGAAACTCTGAGTATAGTCAATATATGCTTGAATTATGTACTTGAATTCAAGAATTTTTCAGTCTTTTTTTTGAAAATAATTGCTGCTGAGCCAATATCAATATCCTTCTTTTCATATGAGACTTGAACTGCTTTTAGGCTCACTATAGCAAAACATTTCTACCAAGTATTTGTGTTTTCCAACTTTATTTTTACCACAGCTACTGAGTTAATATAAATAAGCTGTGTGTACATACACACATTTTGATCCCCCACTATTCTCTGATCACTTGTTCCAGTAACAAA